AGAACTAGCAAGTTAAAAAAATGTTTCCTTCTGTGTTTGTGCCATTTTCAAGTAAATGTAAAATTAAAGTGTAAATTAAAATGTAGGGCTTGAGGTAACACACTTTTTACACTCTAGAGAGCTGAACAAAGAGCCATTTCAAAACATGAAGACCTGACTGAAGGCACTGGTAGCCGTAGCCATCTTTTAAAAGGAGTTGGTATTTGTGTGTTCGCTCCTGTGTGTGAGAAGAAATAAGGAAGCTAAAGCTTTTCCACACTTATTAGTTTAAGTATACAGGGAAGAAGTGCTGGCTCTGGTTTGGGCTGAGAGCAGGAAATAAATCAGCTAAAACTCACAATGTTTGGCATAAATGAAATTTCCTTCTTAAAAAAAAAGGCACACCCCTCTCCCCCACTCCACCTGTCTCTCCAGTCCTTCTGTTTTCCTCCCTTTAACATGAACTCTGACTTCTCTTTCCAACCCATAGGAAGATAATGCTGCTGATGTTCTTCAGGCTGGAGTACTGTACAACACAGGAGCTGCCTGTCTTGTTCATACATACCCCAGTCTGATAGTGTACAGCAAAATTTAATGTGTCTTTAAAAATGGCTGCAGTTACTCTCTCAGGAGTGACTTGAAGGTATTACTCCCAATTTCAGGAAGCCCGAAAAAAGGGGTCTTTCCTACCCCATCCAATCTACTTTGCTTGCCCCCATGACAGCTCACCACAGGCCACCCTGGGAAGCAAATGATCTTTTCTTCCCCTTCATGTCACTCTGGTGGCAATGCAGAATTCAGCCCTTTGCAACAGAGCGCTGTCACCAGGACAAAAGATCATTTTCACCCTAAAGGCCACAACACAGACTCTTCTACTTTTTCAAGGCCATCTCATTATTTTTTTTCCCCCCTTATGAGCAGGGTCTAATTTACAAGCACATGCTCTGGGCCACCTTTTCTGTGGCCAGTGCAGTCTGCTAATGGCAGCAAAGTCATACTGCACCTTTGCTTTAGCATTTGATCTGTACAGACACAGTAGGATTATATCTCATTAAACAGACAATAGATGAGTGTCTGGAACCTGACAGCCATTAATACAGACATTGTTAATGCTGCATAATCACTTAATTTTCCTTGATAACCATATTATAAATATATTTGAGTCTACAGTACTGAACCAGTAACAGATCTGCTGCAATTGCTAATCTGATCTCTGCTGTTTGCCAGCATTCAAGAAAGATTCCTTGACATTTTATAATCTCTAGATGAGGTAGGAAAAACCACAAAAAATGTGAAGAAGTGAAAAAATTATCCAGAATGGAGAGAGAGCTTAAACAGAGAGGAAACCATTTTACCCCGCAAATAACAAGCATATCTAGAAATCAGAAGGTTTCCATTTGGTCTTACTGAGTATGTTTGAAAATTTATGATCCAGGGCTGTATGCACCTCTGGGGATGCAAGTCAGCTGAAAACACGGAGGCCAGAGGGGAGAAGAGAAACACTGGAGTGAGCAAGGACGGGGGATACAGGAGGCAGAGCAGTGACGTTGTTTGAAAGAAAATGCTCTTACAACAGCACTGAAAATGCCCTGGGTGTTTTGTTTGACATTTTGAGTTAGCAGTTTCACCTACCAAGAGATTATCAGATCAAGTCGCTGCACCTTTATCAGCTATAAATTTTGTCTGGGCCAGGGCAGCTCTTTGTTATGCGCATCTGGGAATTCTGGTCTTATTTGCTTAGCTATTAAAGTGGCAAGAAAGGGATTTTTAGTCTAAAAACTTCAAAAAAAGAATAAAACATCCTAGAGTGTTTACTCTAGGTAAAACCCAATATTCTGGAGAATTTCCAGACTGACTAAAAAGTGATCCTGTACCCCTATAGACAGAGCAGCATCCTCTGAGGGGAGCATGCCACAATACAAGACACCAGTCACTATGCAATAAGAACTAAACTTGCCTTTTTTTTTTTTTTTTTTTTTTTTTGTTTTTGTTTTTAAAGAAGGATAATAGCTGTTTTGGTTTTGGTTTGTGTTTTGGTTGGTTGGTTGGTTTTGGTTTGTTTGTTTTTCTGGAAGGTGCAATGTAGATTACATGAATAAAAGGAATTTTTGGAAGGTAGAATGAGATTTGCGAGGTGCAAAAAGCCTGAATTAAGTGTTAAAATGAAAGCAACAACATTTTTAAAGAAGTTGTTGTAAAAGTTAAGGGCACTATATCTCAGTCCTCTAGTGTAGAATTTGCAATACTACAAATTCCATTAGAGCAACACATTACATGCCAAAAAAAAAAAAAACCAAAAAACCCAAAACCAAAAACCAACCCAAAAAAGAAAGGGAAGAGTGGATAGCCAGAGAAAAACGATACCCTTTCTTCCCTTTCTGGGGGACAAGGGATAATGTGGAGGACACTGTGGATAGTTTGTTGTAATTAACATCAATAAGGAGCACAAGTGTTACATCCCATCACATCCCTCATTACTAGAGTACATAACCTCCTAACCTCCACCCAGGAAAATGATATCATTGCATGAATTAATCATCTGGGCAATTAATGGCAAAAGCGACCTCGGGTTTCCAGCACCGTCCCTGGCACCGGTGAATCGGCAATGACGTAAGCTTCCCTGGGAACATGCTGGCGTTTTGCCGGTTCCTGAGCCTCGCTGTTGACTCTGGGGGCAGAAGCAAACAATGTAGTCACCCAACCGGTGATAAATGCTGTAAGCGAACGCCAGGCTGCTGCCGCTGCAGCGTCGGAGGGGCTCTCCTCCTGCCAGACCAGCCGTGTGCTTCTCTCAAGGAGGATGCGTATCCCGAAACAGGCGGGCGCCAACGGCTTCCTCTGATGCGCAGAGAGATGGAGTCTCCGGGTGCACCAAGTATCTGCTCCCCTTTTAGTAAGGAGAGCCTCCTGCTATGCACCTGGGAAGCTATGTAGCCTTTTGCAGTATGTGAATAAGCAAGTTATTTAATTCTCCCTCGCTCGCTGGGGCAGAGAAGTTTATTATACTGGGGAGTTTATTTTCAGAGGGTCAGGCTTGTTTTGTTTCATTTCTGAGCTCAGCCTATTGCTGTGAGTGCTTTGAAAGTTGGAGTCAAACTCAACTATGACCATGTTTTTTCTAACTTACAGGAGCCGAAGGACAGGAAACATGTGAGAAGCTAAGAGATAAAAAACCCACTAGCTTAAAGTATATACCCTGTCTTAGACCTAGTTTTCAGTCAGCTATTCCAGGTGAGACAAGGAGATCATGTCTCTGTTCTGTGGGACTCTGCAGAATGTTCCCTTCAGGTTTTCCATCAACAAATACAAATATCCTCTGTAAGCTGGAGCCTTTTTGTACCTGTGCCAGGTGAGTGCTCCTTCAGTCTCACCTGGGGCACGTGCACAAGCTGAGACAGAGGGGGGGTCAGACTCAGCCTGTCACCCCCAGCAGAACACCCCAGAGACTTCAGAAGAGCTTGCGGGCAGATGGTAGACGTGAGCATGGAGATGGTCTCTGATGAGAGTATCAATCATGTTTGTATTTTCCCATCTTCAGGCCATGTGAGAAAAACACAGAAAAGAAGGGAGTTTGGGTAGAGGAAAATTGACCCCTGATGTAAGAAATTTGGTGTCAGGGAGGAAGGAGAATTTGTTAGAGCAAACAGGTTTGGTTAATCCAAGATAAGCCATTTTGTTGCTTCTCCCGGTGGGGTTTTCTACCTTACTGCTCTTTTTAGAGTGAGCCTCTGGCTATTGTTTTCTGAGCAAGCAGAAAAAGCATACCTCCCTCAGCACTCATCATAAGAGTTAGTTTCCAACTGAGATGAGATATCCACAGGTGAGCAACATGTTTGCCTCAACAACACTTTCCTCTGGATCCTGGCTTAAAAATAATGAAGTGGTGAAAACATGAGAATCAGCTAAACCTGTTAATGTCTTACAGCAAGCTGCAATCCCCACTCTGGTTGGTTGGGTTAAGGTTACCCAGCTCGGGACAGCCTTGTCTTAAAGGTTTGCAAAGATGTAAACTGCAGAAACACGATTGTAGCATCGTCACTGCAAACAACATTCACTGTCTACATGGCTTAATGCCGCGTGTCACATTTGTAATCCAACGTCCACCACCTGCGCTGTTTAGCAGTCACTTGTTATCAGAGCAAAGGCAATGAAACAAAAGAAAGGGCAGAGGCTAATATGCTTGGTGTGCTCTTGATCTTCCAGATAACATTAATTTGTGGGATCTAACCTGATCCTCAGGGATGCTCACCCTTTCTTCACATCATTAAAAGGGAGATCGCAAATCTGTGGAAGTTACTCAATAGGTTATCACTTTACCAGCAGGCAAACTGGACAGTTTGATCATCAGTTCTTCTAACCAGTCAGATAACCTGTCCTGATTCCCCCCTTGCTTTCCAGGTGTAGCTGGTTTAGCAGATAGGATTAATCCACTTTCCTACTCACTTGCACTCTCTCTGTTAGAGAATCTGATTACACAGATTGCTTGCAATTTATCTCCACCTGCCATGACTAATGCTCCAGTCTGACCTTCTCTTTCCCATTTTCACATCTCACTGCAGATCTGATACATACACAGACAGATGTACACATGCTTGCTCTTTTTTTTTTTTTTTTTTTTTTTTTTGCAAACAGCTCACAAAGAGTCTCAGCATTATTTCCATTTTCAATCAAACCAGAAAGCAGTACTGTCTTCCCCACACTGCCCATGAGGTAATTTCTCCCTTTTGACTCCTCTCGTTACAGTTATAATGCACAGGCTTCATACGCTGCTGCTCTCTCCACATAGAACACAGGCATCTCCGTACAGACATGCACAATGAACGTGCAATGTTATAAAACCCTGCAGCGCATATAAAGACAAAGACACATGCACTGAGCAAGTACACCACACGCGTCCCTGTTCCCTCCAAACCCTGCAGGAAAACATTGCCTGCAGAGTGCTTTCCAATAAACAAAACCACCCTTACTGCACAGGGTCGGTATATGATTCTGGCAAATCCTGTTCCCACTCTCTCTCTTACCTTTCCTTAGTCTGCTAATCCGGGGGCTCTGGACCGATTCGCTTTCCCTCCTGCACACAAACTGCCAGCCCCTCCTGCTTCACATTCACAGCACACTGGCAGGATTCACCGTCATCCCATTCTGCTGGATCCTTATCGCCCTATTGGCCAAAGCCAGACAGTAAATTCAATTAGGCTCCTCCTTATAACTATATTATCACAGGAACAGGATGAATAATTTAGTAAAATAACAAGGGTGCAGGCTCCGGTGTCACAGACTTCACCCCCTCTGGCAGGCTTTGATAAGAGGCGGGTAAAGAAACCAGAATCTGTCAGTCTTCTGAAAAAGAGACCTTAGATTACCTACTTGTATTTCCTATTCCATCCCTCTTGTTCTCCTCCCCCTAAATCCATGGCATTCCCTTTTTATTGTGGTACATCCATCCCCAGCCCACAACACAGTATTTCCCTGGTGACAGGACATTACCATCTCAGTGGATGCAGAGATTTCTGTCTAGGCAAAGTGATACTGCAGCACATCAAACACTTCGCCTCTTTCCTGAATACAAGATGTGAGGAAAGAATAAAACCATTCTGCAGAAGGGAGAGACAAGACAAGCAGATCACAAGGAAATGGGAGAGTCTGCCTTGTAGCATGATATTTTCTGTTCAGTAACTGCGCTGTCATCCCATCAGTTCGGACACCCAAGGGATGCAAGTACGTGGTTCCTGAAAGAGAAAGGCTCACAAGCACACTGCTTGGGGACTAGAATTTCACATGCCTGCTGTGGGAGTTTGAATCCCCATATCAAAAAAATACACTGAAGAGACAGTTTTCTCCCAGACCAAATGACTAAGCTGTTCTGTTTTGTCTTTTTTTTTTTTTTTTTTTTCCCCTCTGACCAGAAATTTGTAGTGACAACTAACTACACCTATATTTCCCAAGAAGTAGTTTTCCCAAAATGAACACTGCTCTTTCTCCTCAGGTGATGCTTTGTTTAAAGAGATACAGAGCACTGCAGCTTCCCTTAACAGGGTCACCACTATCTAAATCAAGCCTTAGACCACCTTAATTGCCTGAAGAGGTTTTTGTTATGGGGACCAATGCTGGAAGTGGAGGAGCTCAGTGGGACAGCCCCTCCCACCCCCAGATCAGTCCAAGCAGCCAGCAGGGCTTTTTAATGACCATTCACAGCAATATTGAAAGCTACTGCAAAACATGTTTATGTGCACAGTATTTAAAACGAGCCATATCATGCCACTCCAAATGAAAAATAAATAGGCAGGATGAAGAAGCCATTCTTTTCTTACAGGAGCCCGTGTCCCTTAGAGTCCAACACCACCTTCCGCGCTCTGCTTCCCCTGTGCTAATATTTACTCAGCAGAGTCTATATACCCACTATCATAATAATGTGAGGTTCAAATTGACACCGGAGCCAAAACTCCTTCGAGCAACTCCTACACCAGCTCTACAGTTTGGCTCATCTCCCAGGACTGGCTGGCTGGGCAGCCCTTAGCGCTGCCTCTAGAGGCAGCAGGGACACGAGGTTGAGGTCAAGCCCAAGTACCAGCATAGCCACAAAGGCAGGCCACCGCTGACAGACCAGAAGTTTTTCTAAAGGTAACGTCTTTCTTTAGGCACTGCCTCCATGACAAAGGACTGGCAGGAAGATGGGACAGTGCATGGCTGTTGCCACCTTCTAAATTGCTGGGCTATCTACTCCTGCCACAGCTCTAGTGCAGGTTGGAGTCATGCTGCCTTCCCCAGAAGAACAGGGATCAAAAATGGTGGATGCTTTTGCCTTTCCCAACAAGTTCAAGGTGATCTAATGAGTGAAGAAGTAAGAGTCCCACCCAAGTATTTGGTCTTTGTCTGTTATGGATTTCTCTGACACAAAAAGGGATGAGACTGCCCTTACGCTCCTACGATGCTTCACTTTCGAAGAACGGCAGCTACTCTTTTCCTCCTCCTCTTTCCCATGCAGCCATCCACTTTTAAGACGTTTTGTGTTAAAGGAAACCTTAAGTCCTGGTTTCATCCAGAATAAAGTTAATTTTCTTCCTAGTAGCTGGTATAGTGCTACGTTTTGGATTTAGGATGAGGACAATGCACTGATGTTTTAGTTATTGCTAAGTAATGTGTATATTAAGTCAAGGACTTTTCAGCTTTTCATACTGCCCTGCCAGCAGAGGCTGGGAGTGCACAAGAAGCTGGGAGGGGACACAGCCAGGACAACTGCCCCAAACTAGCCAAAGGGGTATTCCATACCATATGGTGTCATGCCCAGTATATAAACTGGGGGGAGTGGGCCTGGGCACTTCACAGCTTGGGGATTGGCCAGGCACCAGTCATCGGTTGGTGAGTGATTGTACTGTGCATCACTTGTTTTGTATATTCTATTATTATTATTATTATTTTCTCTTTATTTTCTGTCTTTGTCTCAACCCACAAGTTTTACTTTTTTTTTTTTTTTTTGATTCTCTCTTCCATCCCACTGGCAGAGGGAGAGTGAGCGAGTGGCTGTGTAGTGCTTAATTGCTGGCCGGGGTTAAACCACGACACCTTGAATTATGCACTCGGTGATAGCTTCAGAGCAATTAAATTAAGCCACGTGGCAAGTTGCCCGATGTCACTACCAAAACTCAGGATGTTTTAGCATCATTTATTGAAGAGTTTTTACATGTTGCTTACTTAAATCACATAAAGAGAGCAAATTAGGCTGTTGCCATGACAACTAGAGAATCTGCTCAAAATTCAGGAGATGCTGGGGAGAGGGGAGAGCTCTTCAATGGAGACCTCTGCGTCATGAATACAGCCCTTGGTTATCAAATCCCTTTCAAGTTAATTCCTAGCATCAAAGCCTCCCTGACAAAAGGTTTAATAATCAGGAGCAAAGCTTTGGCTAAAGAGGGCACACACCAACTCTCCCGGCACTAATCGGAATTTACTTCTGGTGAGAGGTGCTCAGCTGAGGTCCACAGAGCGATCACAGAAGTGGCAGCAGTAGCACATGAACACGCACCAGGCAGGGTGGGAGAAGTGCCAGGAGGCTTTGTTGTAGACAAGCACTGAATTGAAAGGCAGATCATGACTCCATGGTGCAGTAGAGGTGAATGACAACTTTTTCCAGAGTAGATGGGGAGGGAGAGGAGTAATCAGGGTCCCAGCTGCTGCTCTGGAAGTTGGAATAAGCTGAGGCAAAGTCTTCCACCAACCCCAATAAATTAATTAAAGCAAATAAGAGAACAAAATGGTGAGACAAAAAGCAGAATCAGTGGTGTCAGAAGAAGCTGACAGGCTGAGCAAATGGAAGACAGGCTACTAGAGTTCTTTTGCAGGAACTGAATCTTTATTATATGATTTTATTGTTGTGAGTGTTATAATCCAAGTAGGATACTTACCAAGGCAAATGCATACATACTACATGATCTAAAAGTTCAAGAAATTATGAAAAATGCACTAATAAAAAAAATAAGCATTTTCAAGATATACGTACCCTTTTATCTAATGTCCTGTTCACCCTTTGAATTCCAAGATTGATTGTCTATCTGCCTTACTAGGGATGTTGTGGCAATATTTCAGTACCTTGAGTCGAAGTTGTTAATCTTCTGATGGGGTCTTCTTCCTTCTGCCTGGGTACCACTTTTATAGGTTGCTAATAAGGTCCAACCTCTGACTGTTTGGAACGGAATATAATACAAGTCTTTAACTGGTTATCTACTTGCAAATGAGACTGATCATTTCTTTTCATGCCCCGTTCCTGCCGTCTCCTGCTATTTTGCCAAAGCTTTGCAAAAAGCATTTATTAGCTAATGACATTGTAGCAACAGGAGTAGGTCGGGCCTCACACAAGCCAAGTAGGCTTGTCTTGGACCCACAATATGTGGCAGAGGTGAGAGGCTGAAGTGAGCATTTTCTCATGCTGAATATATTGTGACACCCTCTTCAACAGCTGTCAGGTTAGCAGACATGCTCTTGGGATGGCCTAACAGCAGCAGAGGCACTCAAGCGGCAGGTTCCACAGAAATAAATCTGAGGAATAGAAGACAGGGTGAGAGAGAGAAGGAGGGAAGGGCAATGCACAGCTGAACATGAATGGGCTCCTTATAAGCGGCTGGGATGCTATTTGCTGAAGTGAAATGCTTTTGGGAAGAGCTGCATTTTACCTAGCCAGACTGCAGCATTATCCTGGGCCTTCAATGCTACTGCAGATGTGTATGGTGGTCTCTATAAGAAGCATATTACCATCCCACTGAAAATGTGTTTCTGTGTCTCAGACATGCTCCTAATCAAAATAATTTTTTATTCTTTTAATTGAAATTAACAGCTAATTAACAGTAATAGTGACTTGTTATTTTAATAAACTTTTCAAAACCTTTTAGGTATCATGTCTTAATCTAGGAAAACCCCCATTTTTTTCTACTGGCATTCTTTACTTACTTCAGTAACATTTTTCTATAATTAGTTTGTTGGTTGCAGTGACTTCTTGCCATCTCAAACACCATAGCAATATGAGGTATTGAAAAGCCATATTATTGAAAAAAAGCCATATTATTGAAAAGCCATCCCACTATGCTGTTCTAACACAAGCAAGCACAAATATCATGCTTGTCCATGAGGATCTTTGAGTGGGTATCTATTTAATATCATTCAACTTTAAAATACAAGTACACCACCTCTTTACCAGATCATCTGTCATATTTTGCAAAACATTGTTCCTAGGCTGTGGAAGTTTCCAAGGTGGAACGAATATTCTTATTTACTGATGGGAAAGATTTCCCCCTCCCAGAGGTTAGAAAAAAGAGAGAAGTGCCCTGATTCCATGTCAGCAGAGGCATTCCTTTAGGGTGCAGGAAACAGAGGCCCCAAACCTGAACAAAGCAAACTGAAGATTCATCTCTGGGTCCCCTCCCAAGGGCAGAAATTAACTGCACCAAGAGTTTATCTGCTATTCAGAAGAGACTATCATTATACCTCCTGTGATATTGTTCTACTATATAGAGACTCCTGTAACATTGGGCCGAAGACTGAATGGGTGACCAATAGCCAAGATGCTCATCAATAAGTGAGATTCACGTCTAAGAGATGTCTTGTAGCTCCCCCAAAATAAGGACTGAGAGAAGCAGCCTTGAGAGAAACATGAACAAGGGCAAGAGATAAGACTTGGTAAAGATAAGGGATGGGGGGCAATGAAGGTCCTCTGAGCCAAGAAATGTCTCAAACACTCTCAAGTAACAAAACTATAGTCA